CATTATATAATGTTATTGGACGTCTTGTCAATGAATTTAGTTCCTCATATTGATCGAGCGGGCTTCTACCTGCGTTTTTATGAAATTTTCTACTGAAATGATTTCTTGGCGAAGATGTTATTTCACTTTTTGATAATTTATCACCTATTTTTATGACAGATGCTATACTGGGAACAGGTAGTGGTATCTGTTTTTCAAAATTTTCTTTAAATTTGTCAAGAAATAAACTTCTCAACTTTTTAACGTTTGGAGACATCATTCCAGAAATCCTTAATTTTTCGTTTTTTGAGCTTTTTGTAATTATTCTATTCCTGATTGGAAGAAAGATTTTTTGAGGATTTACAGGTTGATATTGGTATTCTTTTATTTCTTTTCTGAATTCTTCAGGTGCTACAGAAGGGCTGGATTTCCATTTGATTCTGGCACCTGAGTATTCCTCAGGGTTTTTAGATATCATGCGTGTCTTCGCTTGGTCACGGTTTTCCAATTTGCTGAAGAATGCAGGCATCGGATTTTCTATTCTCTCTTGAAAATTGTAATCATTTTTGACACCGGATTCTTTCAAAGGGCTAATCATTGTTTCTGCTCCTGTACCTATTTCCCCTTGCAAGCTGCCATATCGTTGTCTCAATCCTTCTATTTGAGGATAAGCATTTGGGTCCCTGAGTCTGTAAAAACCTCCTGGATATGCTGCAAACGGTGTTTTCTCTTGGCCAGTTGAAGTGTATGCATCGTTTAATGGTATCTGGGGCATCATTCCGAAAAGTGGTTTGGAAGGATATTGTGCTTCGTACTGGTCATAATAGTTTATTTTAGGGTAATACCGTATGTTGTACTGGATAGGATTTCCCACTTCTGGTTCAGCGGGGTAGTACCCTTCACTTATTCTTGGCTGTCTGAAAGGCATTTCAACTCGTTCTTTGTTTCTTGAATCTACACTTGTTGCAGTCAATTCTAACGATGGAAGAAATCTTGGATCTCTAAAAATTGGTGTTGTTGGTTTAAAATTTATCAAATTTTCTTGTTGGAAATACGGATAAATTGGTCTCGCGGCATAAGGACGTACAGGAGTCAAAGGAAAAGGTGCAGATGGGAAAGTTCTAATACCATAAGGAAGATTATTTTTTGTCTCCGTCTCTTCAATTTGGTAGTTGTTTGTTTCTACCGGTGGGAGATTATTTCCTATATAATTATTTCTCTGTGGATCTTGTAAACTATTTGTGTAAAAGTAGTTTTTGTCCCTTCCCGTTGAAAAAGTGTCAGTAGTTGATGGAGCAAATTCCTTCTCTTCACTTATTTCTTTTGGCTGTGTTATGGTTGCGAAACCGGTGCTCCTCATTTCCGTACCTTGTGGGAACGGCACTAAATCGTCCATCTTAACAAAGGATATCGTGGGAACTTTTAATATTTTTATAAACTTTTTGTCTTGCGAAGGTCTTTGAAGTTTGGAGTTTTTTGGCGGTTTTCGGTTTTTGTAGGCCCGAAGCAAGCGTAGTAAATCTGACAAATGTTTTGTTTTATTGACACGAGCATGTAGGGGATGAGGTATTTCACGCATTTCTTCCTCGATTTCTTCATAAATTTTTGCTTGTTCTTCTTCCTCCAACTGTTCTGATTCCTCTTTATTTTCTTCTATATGAACTTGACTGTGGCGCGGGAGATTCGATACTTGTATAACTTTGTGAGGCGAAACCGTATGGATTGCGATTTCTGCTCTGGGTGTTGTTAGTTCGTCTCCTTCTTGTTCTTTTCTTCGTTGCGCTAAATATCGTGCCAAAGCAGTAGCGTGTTCCTGTAGTGATCTCCCACGAGTGCCTTCAACTCTTCTTCCATTTTTTCTTGTTACATCCACTGAAATGAAGGTTTCGTTGTGACTCGATTTCTCCTCATCAACCTGCTGGCCTTCTTTATATTCTTCTACTAAACTAAGTATTCTTTTGTTTGGAAAGTAATGTGGCACAAGCTGTGACCTATGTTTTAAGGGTGGCTCCACAACAAGTGGATGGAGGTGCCAAAATTTTTTTGCCAGTATTTTTCGTTTTGATGGCACATGCGGTAACGACTTTGGATGTACGTATCTTTTCTTGATTTTATTCGGTCTCAGTTTCTTCTTTTCACTCTTTTGTAACTTGCGCAGTAATCTTGGGGACGTACATCTTCTCGTTTTGAACGGTAGCTCTTCGTTGAAATGTCTTCGGTTCTGCAGTAAGCTTTTTTTACTTGTTTATTTGCTGATATTTGGCACGATATCTGAGAACTTATATAATCTGCGCATGGATTTGGACAGTTAAAGTTTGGTAGAGCAATTTTAACCAGCAAGAAATTGAAACCTTTATTTGATTATCTATGTTGGAGCAAGGATTGGGTAGGCAAAATGTTTGAAAAATGTCTTCAAAATTATTATTTGTTGCATACTGAGTTTTTTTTTTGCTTTTCTGCTTTAAAACGATTTTTTTGAATTTCCGACAGATTAAGCAGAGACGAATGAGCTGATTGTTTGACTTTAACTGAAGGGACTAAAAGTGTTATTAGTAATAGGGAACGAATAAAGTAGTTTGTTTTTTGATACATTAATGGAGTAACCTTGTTGAAAAGTTAGACAGTTGCTTTGTCATGAAGACGTAGCGAGGGATTTTGGTATGAATATTGTTTTTATTTTACGTACTTAATTATTTAATTTTTTTTTAGAGTTTGTGAGTACGGTAGTGAATTGTGCCAATTGAATATGGTCATCTTAATTGAATCTTATATATGAATTAGACTCGGCGTTCAAGAATTTGATTTTACTGAGGCTGTCTGTTTGCGTAAAAAAGGTTATCTAGCTAGGTTATGTAGTTTTTTGTTGATTTACTAATACTAACTTACTGCAGTCGTATTCACCCATCTTCTGTGTTGAAGGCCATTGTGCGGTAATTGCTTTGTCTCCCCTAAGAAACGTTTGGTGTGGTAGGAGCGTCGGGTTCTTGGAGCTATTGCCAGTGCTGAGTAATTTCTTTGTAAGTTGCTTTTCTTGGTCTTCGGCCCTAATAATGACAAAAGAAGTAGGAGAAAATACCTGGAGAACGTGTGAAGCTGTTTGCTGAAATGAACAAATTATTTCGTTTGCCTGTGAGAATTTTAAAACAGTAATCTGCTTTGTAATGAGTATATCATACTTCATAGTTCTTGGAAAGTTTTATTCCTTATGTAGGGATAGTCTGCAGTGTAGTATTGCTTAATTTGCTCGTAAGCTTTCTGTTCTTGACGTAGTGACTGCGGTAGAAAGAAAGGTGGCAGCCCTTTCTTTTGTCTCAGTCACTTCCAAATGCCTTCTCGTGTGGAAAGACATTTTTTCTCTTTCCCTACTCTTTGTTTCTCAGCAGTTTTGTTTCCTTCCTCCCTCTCGTTTAAGCGCCATTTTCACAATGAAAACAAGGAAATTGAAAGGTGACATCAAAGCCTTTGGAAATATAATAAGTATGGTGATGCAATATTCGTTGGAACGGTATTTCTAAGAGACGCTGTTGTTTTTTTAGCTCAGACTGGCTGTTAGCTATTACCCGGTGAGTCATTGCGCGGGTGCATTTCGCAAACGGTTCGGGTGAAAATCTTCCGGAGTAACGATAAATCTGTTTCAGTATTGTTTAAGTTCTGCTTTCGGCATAACATTATGTTTTTTATTCTTCTACTTTGCGCCATCACCTGAGGTGCAATTTTCTGTAATGGTCTCGTAAGAGCTTCTTATGAGGTTCACTCAAGCAGTTATTTCATGGTGATTTAGACGGATGAATGATTCTTACCTAAATTACTGCGACCTAGTCGTTTTTAAAACTTTTCTTTATTTTTGACTAGACTGATGGTGCTGCTTTAGATTAGTTCTTAATATTTCAATTCTTTTTTTACCACAGTGGTCTTGTTTTAAAACCAAAACTAATTTTTTTCTGTCGGGCACTGTCGAATTCAGTCTGTGCAGTATTAGTAATTTGGTGGTATTTCTCTTAAATAGCCTTGCTTGTTTGCTGCAGTGCAGATTTTGTGGCATTTTATTTGTAGAAGTTTTATGGAAATAAGCCTTTGGTATTAATTTCAACTTTTAATATAGGCTACTTCTAAGTTACTTTATTGATATTGTTCAATAAATGAAATTTAAAACCATGCAATTAATTCTCAGTTCGATTATAAGAAGTCTTTCTGCGTTTGCTCACTTCTAACTTCTGCAATTCTGTGGAAATCTCATTTCGTTCGTTTGCTTAATATGGATACTGTTAAGGACGCGGAATTTCGTGTCTGTGAAGAGAGTCAGCTTCGCTTTGTCTCTCCTGAATACCATATCACAGCAAAGAAGCAAGGCCACTTAAGAGAAATAGTATCCAGTTACCAATACCGCACAGACGAAGTTCAGCAGTGCTCAACAGAAAAAGATTAGTTTTGGTTTTAAACTAGATCACTGTGGTAAAAAAAGAATTCAGATATTAAAGACTAATCTGAAGTAGCACCATCAGTCTTTGTTGCTTTGCGCAACGAAAAAGTTATCAAACCAGAAGTTCTTCGTTAAACGGTCAGGACAACTGGACAGTCTTAAATTCAACGAAAGAATGAAATTTGAAATGCGGAAGCTTCATGCAACAGGTGGGCTCTCTTGCACGCTTTTAAAGTAAAGTTTCTTACGATCTTGGCAACTTGTAAAACTCTCTACTGTACTGTGGCAGGCCAAAGTCCTTAAAAGTGTAAAGATTTCTCAGTTTTCTGTATGACTAGGGTTGGCTTGGGTGATAATGTATAGTTTCGTCAACATGGAATGATGCGTAGACTTTTAATTTTTGGTTTTTGAGAGACTTAATAAACGCTGCTTTTAGGACATTAGATTGTAAAGTACAATGTTGTAAATGATAGTCCGAATACACGATGAAGTATAATGCATGAAAAAGTTACCAAAAACAATGAAGTGAAGTTAGATTCATAAACTTGAGAGTGAGCTCGTTTTTGGGACTGGAAATCATAGTCAAAGAAACAGATTTTTGGAAAAAGAGGTGCCGTACGCGTTTTGTGCAGCTATTCTACTAATTATTCGCTGTAATCGAGTTTCATGTTATACTTTATAGCTTGAATTACAAAAGAGACCTTAAATAAGATCTCCTATTTCACGTAATGTGTATCTTAGACGAAATTAGCCACCTCTTACTTTTGACACTTAGTCGTTCTGAGCAGCTGAATTTTAGGCTCAATATCGCTACTGAAAAATGCCAAATTTGTTAATATTTTTTATTGTATTAGCAAATGAGAAACTCCGAGTGTCGCGCGTCGAATGGAACTGTCAGAGCGGGGCCTTATTGGACTGTGTCAATGATTG